AGTTAGATGGGCTTCAGCCAGAGACGAAGATCATCGATGAACATTTGGGTAACATAAACACGAAAGGTTTCCTGACTATTAACAGCCAACCAGCAGTTAATGGAGCAAAATCTGATGCTCCTTCTATTGGTAAGTTTGATGCTTAAACTTCTCATCTGTATNAGATCATCGATGAACATTTGGGTAACATAAACACGAAAGGTTTCCTGACTATTAACAGCCAACCAGCAGTTAATGGAGCAAAATCTGATGCTCCTTCTATTGGTAAGTTTGATGCTCAAACTTCTCATCTGTATGCAAGGACGATTAATTTGTTCTTTTACTTACAAATGACTGTAGCTATATCTTTTTATTTCAAATTCCAGATGTCCAAACGTTTTTTCTGAAAATTCTTACCTTGTTAGAGCTCCTCGTTCCTTACTACCTTGTTTTAGATGTGGTGGGTACAACGTTATCTGTTCACCACTGTCAACATCCCTCCACCCTTAGCTGCCTACTGCTTGTGGATTTGATTGCAGAGTTTTGGTTGGTGACATCACCCATTGTTAATGATCTAACTAGGTTGCCGGTGGACCCATTTAAAAACTAAAATTCTTTGTAAGGGGCATCTTTTTTCTTTTTGGATGCCAGAGAAATCCATTGTTTCAGCTTCAAAACTCGGGGATAATGGTCCTGCTCCTCTACCCATCTCCAATTAAATGACAGAATTGGTGCAACAACCGTGTTTCGGATCCTGACAATTGTCAACCACACATCCCCGTGCTTGACCACCTTTGGGCTGAACCAAAGCCATGGGGCTTATGGGGGCATCTTTCTTTGTTTTTTATCTCAAGACTTCTCTAAGAAACTCTGGTTGCGAGCCGTGGGTAACTGTCCACCTATGTCTGGCCAGTCAATTGCCAACTGGCAGCAACCATAAGATACTCTTTTGCTTGGACCATAATGAAGTAGTGTTCGTCCATGAGTGATGGACATAGATCAGATTTATTTTGTTTGGTTTTGGGGGGGGGGGTTGAAGGTGGGGAGAGGTGCCTATACTTCGGGTCACTGTTGTCTAGCTGTGGAAGAAATACAATAATCTACCTTATCTTTTTCTTCCCATTGATTCCCCCGACTATCAAGCTGCAATTCTTTCTAACAAGTGGCTGAGAGTTAGCAAGCAACCTTGGCCTATTGGCAGGAGGTTCACTGTCCCCCTCCTTTCCAGTCCAGCCGCAGTACGGCACCTGAACTCGAAGCTACGATCAGATCTGATTGGATCTGGTCTTTGGTTGATGAATTAAGACTGCCCCTCCATCTGAATGAAAGCCCGAGGGAATATGAAAGCTACCTAGAGGATCTTGGAAACAAGGCACACAGGCCCCTGAGCTGAGCTCCTTTAGTTTTTCATTGTAACTGCAGATGTTTACCCTTGAGGGGCCAATCTCTTAGCTAACCTCCAAACAGGGAATGCCCCATGTCTCCGCTTCTCAAGTGTGATCAAGTCTTTTGATATACTTCCCGCGCTTACTCTGTTCAATTGATTTGATACTTGAGAAACAAACACAAGGCTACAACAGGTAAAACTTAACTAATAGTGCAGGAGTCCTATGTTTGACAATAAATGAGAGGTAAAATGTAGGTTCTAATTGTCAAAAAAGTAGTAATTGTTGGAGGCCCAAAGTATTGTTTCCTCATGTGTTGACACTTATTTTCACAATGCTTAGTTTTCGTTAGCTAGTTGGTGTTTTTTCCTCTTTTCTACTTATCGAGAGGGTGGGGATCCTAAGGCATTGAAACTTCTTTGCTAAGACCTTCCTGGCCTATTATTATGGAAACTTGATCAAGATATGCCAGTTTTAAACCCATCGTTGCTTCATCAAACCAGAAGTCCCTAAATGCCTGATGGGAAATAACTAATAATGCAAAATCCTTTATGGGCTGCAAAGTACTTTTATGCCACATCCTGCTTCACATTTCAAGGATGCTCTATCTACCCTTACTTTTCTTGCCATTGCCACTAGTTAACTCCATGTTGTCGATTAGTGCCTACTTTTGATTACTAGAACATCATGTTTTTGTCCTAAAATGTATGCTGATTCCTTCATAACTCGTGAATAATATAAATGCATGACGTCTTGCCGGATCTGATTATATTAGCTTTCCTGTTTTGCTTAGCTTTTTGACTTCTTTTTTACAGGATGGGGCGGCCCTGGTGGATATGTTTATCAAAAGGCATACTTGGAGTTCTTTTGCTCTCGCGAAAAGTTGAATGCTCTTGTCGAAAAATGCAAAGCTTTCCCCTTCCTTACCTATATGGCTGTGAACAAGGAAGGAAACTGGATTTCCAATGCCAACCAAACCGATATCAATGCAGTGACATGGGGAGTTTTCCCAGGTAAGGAGATTGTACAACCAACGGTGGTCGATCCCGCCAGCTTCATGGTGTGGAAGGATGAGGCATTTGAAATCTGGTCAAGAGGTTGGGCTCAATTATACCAAGAGAGTGATCCATCAAGAAAATTGCTTGAACAAGTACGTTCACACACTTGCTCTTTCCTGATCAAAGAATTTGTCCCTTTTCCATTCATCCTAATTTGTGATGTATGTTTGCTGAGTTAATTTCACGGATGCTCATCCAATTCTCAGTTTATTGCACCAAAATCATAAAACTAATAACGGAATCAACTATGCATAATATTACAAAAAATAAACAAATGCTGGAAAATGCTAAATCTGTTCTTGCAAACACAAGGTGGCTGCTACTTTTGCAGGTCACCTTACATAATATTCTATCACCACACCAAAAAAAGAACCGGAAAACATATATTCACACCCAACCGAATACCTGATCTCTTTCATTATATGTCATGTCATGGGTTTTTTTAGTGTCAAAAGATTGTTTTCCAAAATATTTTCCAGTGGTGCCACGCCGATTATTTAAGGTGAGTTGCTGATGTGACAAACTTACATGTCAATTTTATACATGTGGCGTCCTACTTGCATTTTTTCGAGATCAAATCTAACATTTTCCGGCGTTTATTAAATTCCAATGATATATAAGCATAGTTGTCTTCTTTTATTGTTGCAAAAATAGTTTTATGACTTTGACGGACCATTGGTGAAACTATCCCTTCTGTGTTCTTGAACGGCTAATAAAATGGCTTCTTCATTTTGTTCACAGGTTCAGAACAGTTACTTCTTGGTTAGCCTTGTCGACAACGATTACATCAATGGAGATTTGTTTGCCATCTTCAAGGATATCTGAATGTAGCAGCCATACAGAGCTCCTAATTATTTATTTACTCACAATGAGGTTTCTTCTTTGGATTTGAGTACAAGGTTATGATTGTTGTTTTATGTTCCTGTAACAGGAATAATTCACTGGGAATCTGTTCCCTTCATTTTTTAACTGCAAGTTTGATATACATTGTTCCTCAAGTCTTTTACAACAATTATGAGCAAACACTCCCCTCCTCCCCTGAGCATCTGTATACAATTCTTAGTTTAGATGTCTAAATATATAGACATGGCATTATTCTTCCAGATATAATTGTTAAAGTTGAATATTTTTACTTTGCGTTTTTGCAAGGCACAAAACTAATACAACAACAACCAATCTAGTGTAATTAGGGTCTGTGGAGGATAGTGCATACACAACTTTAGCCCTACCTATATATATATATATATATATATAGGGAATGTTGTTTTTGCAAACATGAATCGAATTTTTTTTTTCACAATTTTTACGCAAAATTGTATCTTTATCCCGGAGCCTCGAAGGAAAGAAAAATCGTTCTTTGCTTTGACTTTGATGAAAAATTTTCAGTTAAAATGGATTGATCATACCTATCCAATAATGGAATATGGATTATGACTGACTCGCTATTCACTCGGTTTTTGGGTCATAATCGTTATGTAGGAGAGATGGCCGAGTGGTTGAAGGCGTAGCATTGGAACTGCTATGTAGGCTTTTGTTTACCGAGGGTTCGAATCCCTTTCTTTCCGTACCTTCGCGTAATTCACCAATTTTACTAACAACAAGGGCTCAAATAGCAATGGATACCATTATTCCAACAGCTAGACCCTTCTTTGATCTCTCTCTCTCTCTATATATATATATATTTAATATTTTATTAGTTATCTACATATATGTAACATACTTATAAATTGTAACATATTATACACACACACATCAACGATACACTTTATTATCTATTTACTAACACTAAGTGTATATATCATAGCATGACTATTTCAATTAAACTCAATCAATTTTATTTATAATGTTTATCATTTGTGTGCTTTCGTATAAATTACACTTCATATCCGTATACATATAATAGATTACAATAGTGTATGATTTTATTTCAGATATGATAATTTACACTTATATATATATGACAAGCGTTGATGATTTATTCTCAACTGTTCATTACATCGCTCGAATGCTTGATCGGTGAATAAATAAGAAAATAAATCTTGATGTTTAAGTGACTAGATGCTCCGGTATAATGAGTGACTAGATGCTCCAAGATGTTTACAATCGACGGAGTCTTGAATATTTTATTCTCGATCACCTTATTAGTACTTTGCTCGGAGTGGATCAATGTTCTAGCATTTTGTTATTAATGGATGATCCAGTCAAATTTCTTTTAGCTGAAATAAAATTTGTGTTTGCTTACAGCATTATTCTGGAGTAGTGACTACTTGAGTTGAGATCTCAAAAGTGATTTATTGGATCAGTTAGTGACTGAATCTGTCAAAGATAGTCATTGACCCTTCTCCCATCAAATTCAAAAGTTTGTTCAACACAACAATATTAACTGTTGGGCTTTATCTAGTATTTTAGATTGGGTGGGACGAACACTGAATAATTATTATTATTATACAAAAAAAAAAAACAATATAGTTTGTACTACTATAAACTTGGATCCATTTTATTGGTAATTGGAATTTAGCGTTTTCCTATAGACACGTGTTTGTACACAAACACGTGTATCATCCCTATCAATGAGCAGCTCTCTTCTTAAAGTTCTGGAGTCTAATTTACCATCCATTCTTCTGTCCAACGCCATGGGCCATGACTACAGAGGTTTGCCTTCGAGTTTAATTTGCTGACGTCTCTTTTTTTCCTGAGTTTTCTTATGTTCTTTCTCTATTTAATCATTCAGTAACGGACCTTTGTTGAGTCTCTGTTACTTCTCATTTTTTGTCCAGTTTTTTCATTTTTCATTTTTTTGAATTCTCTCTGCAACTTTGTTTCATTTGCAGACACATAAGATACATTCATGCATAATTTTGGATATTTGATGAATACAAATCTTATTTTTGTGCAATCAAACATACTCCCCTTTTTCCCTCTTCAATTTTTGGGGATTTTATTTCTCCATTTTTCTGTTTATCTTTCCGAATTTATATTCACTTTATTCCTTCTGGTTTTTTCTACTTTTCCCCTTAATATTGATTAACATATGAACATTACGGTTGTTTGCGTTCTAATATATTATTCTCTCAGCTTATAATAAAAAGGTTAAGACAAGATATTGCGTTTAATATGGGTGTAGTCAGGCTCCTTTCTTCTCCTTTGACTTAAGTTTTTAGTTGTAGTAATTATGGTAGTGTTTACTGTTCAAAAGTTTTGAAAGCTCAAAGATTGTAAGTATTGGAGCAAGTAAGAGCAAGATAAATGATTTACCAATTTAACGACCTGATTAGAAATGACTTAAATGACAAAATACTGAACTATAATAGTATCCATTACATTCTTTTTGGATCTTATTAATTGAGATATTCGATCCACCCCAAGTGTTTGATGAAAACTAAATAATAGTTTATTATTTTTTTCGTTTGACTGATGTTCTACAACATATACTCATCTATCATTCATAATTCGAGAGGTACATTATTTACATCTATTGGATAGTATTTATTTATGGGGCATGTGTATTTCTGTTAAAATATTGCCTCAATTTATCTCTTATCAAACGAAAAAAATTGACGCTATTTGTCGAACTCTCCTTTCAAGAAAATTAAAAATAACTTTATTTTTTCTCAATTGGGTGTTGTATGAAAAATTAATTGAGCTGAGAATATGGACATAATTGATTAGGTGGGTATTAAATATAAATGTGTAGTAGATTTTTTGGTGACAACCAAGTCACGAGAGGAAGAACATAGAATACTATTCAGTAATATGTCTATGATATACACAACAAATGCGTCTTGGCTAACAAATATTTAATTATTTTAATTGCAGAATAAGCTTGATCCCGGGGTTGAGAGATGAAGAAATAGGTGAAAGAAGGAAAATTATAACCGAGAAGACCTATCCATAAATAAGGTTTGCCGGTTTCTTACTATTATATATGTGAGTATTTACCTAAAATAGAGTTGTACTCAAATTACCTTTTGATGCCAAATGTCCATTTAAGTGGTTTTTCCTAACCTATTGGTTGAGAAGTTCTCAGTCATAATCTTCAAAAATGACAAGGTTATGGTGATGAATATTTCCCAATGTCTTAACGTCCCTTTCAAAATCTTCCTGAAACTTAAAGCAAGTTTTTTTTTGATTCATAGGTCTCTGTGTTCAGATATCAGGTCCGAATCCAGTTGCTCTACGGACACCAAGGTTGACATCACATGAATTTGAGATTTCTAGCTAATGAATGGAACTTACTTGCATTAACGTTAGAAGATATATTTGTGTTTTGTACAAAAAGTAATGGTACATAAAATACATTTTGTATGTACAGCTCTAATGCAATGGCAATTAAGATACTAGCCTTTACTGAAAAACTTTAGGTAGATTTGTATACCAAATGAATCATGTTTGGCCCAACCTTGCTAGTTGTAATTAAAGTAGAAGATAGAGAAAATACTCAAGTATGTGTCCTGAGTAGATTATCTACTCATGTCATGACCTTAATCTGACCACTTTACAAATGATGAAATAGAGGTATCTAATCTAACTAGAAGCATCTCCTAACTAGTAGAGGCGGAACCATCTCCTATCAATCTCCACTTGTGACTTTTGTCCACTCAAACACTACGACTATGTAGGGTGGTCAACTGATCATCTTTTGTCGAAACATTATACTATGTATAAGGTAAAATATTATTTGTTATTGATTAAAAATAGATTTTGAACACTCTTGTATAGTCCACTGGCGAATTTGAACACCCTTATTAAATTTTCTGGCTTCGCCATTGCTACCAGTGGCCCGCTGATCCCGCAACTCGGCGTTGTTTGTGCAAATGACTCGAATTTTTGGACAGTGAATATGAGATACTTCAAGTTAGTTAGGCTTGGTAAAATATCCACACATCTATATCATGAATCTCTAATTAATAACTTTTGTTCCTTGTGTTGAATGCTCAAATACTTTGGACAGTACAACCACATGTAATAAGCACAAAGACTCATATTCACCAACTACTCACAATTACCTAGAATATCGACAAGGCTATTGCTTATCGTCAGGGGCGAAGCTATATTACACCAAGGGTGGTCAGTTGACCACCCTTCGTCGAAAAATTATATTATACGTATAAGATGAAATATTACTTGTTATTGATTAAAAATAGACTTTGAATACTCTTGCAGCAAATGTTTGAACACCCTTATTGAATTTTCTGGCTTCGTCACTGCTTATAGTACACAACCCGAATTTTAGGGTTTTTACAATAACGCAACCTTTTAAATAGTGAGCATCAGCTAATATATATCCATTTAGCTAAACCGCTTGAACAAATCTTCCCTGGAATATATATAACGCTTTTCCAATTATAATACATTCCTGAATTCAATGAATAAATCCACCCTCCAGAATTTTTAACACAAGAAAGCGAAATCCCTTGGAGTTTATTTCATTTTTAAAAGTTGCATCGTAACATGTAACAAGAGCATGTCCAAAATGATGAAAATGAAATAATTCAACATTAACACCGTGTGATGATAGAAACTTGTCCACAATCGACAGTTTTTTCTTACGTTACAAGGAATAATGCCTGCCATATTATAATTAAAATCATTATTACCACCAACGTTTACATAAAAAAAAAAAAAAAGCGAGATAAGAGCCTAGCTTTTATGTATAATCTAAAGGTTTTGGTAATTGGTCCTGGAAAAAGGTTTCTTTTTATTTTGTTTCCCTCTACCTATAGGACACTATCACATTACTATCTCTCTAGATCTTCTTTTAACCCTAAATATTTTTTATAACTCTCCATTTACTCCCTTTCTTTCGTTTTATGTGGCATGTACTTGTGTAGGTCAAATTACTTAATTTGTAGTGTAAATTTGGACATAAGCTTTTTAGTAAGTTTCTTTGACATAAAATTCATATATTTAAAGCTAAACAAAAAGTATTATAAGCAACAATTGGAGTAAATTTCATGGATAATATGTAAATTAATGTTTTGTTGTACACAAGTACCTAAACTTAATACTGCAATTGCCCGCAGTATACCTATATACAGTGGCGAAGCTAGTAATTTACTCAAAGGTATTCAAATTTGAAAGAAGTGAAAAAAAATTCCGACAAAGAGTGTTCAATATGTGTTATATACCTCTAAAACGTAATATTTTATCTATATACACAGTGCAATTTTTCAACGAAGCGTGATCAACTGACCACCCTTGTAACCATGTGACTTCGCTTCTGCCTGTGTATAATAAAAATAGCAGTCACCGCCTCACTCGAAAGATCATATTTCCACTAACTTCCATGAAAAATTACTTTTAAAACCCATGTTTTTCATATTACCCATTTTTTAAAATCAACTACATTAATTTTCAAGATTAAGTGATTTTACTGAGTGAAAATATGCATTAATACCGAATTACCTTAAATAGAGATTGTCTTTATATGGTAATAGAATGTATTTATTAGGTTGGTTAAAAATAATATATACTACTCCATCGTGTGCGCTATATATGTACAATATTTTTTCCTTTTGAATTTAAATTATATCTACCGATATTTTTGATAGAGTAACTTACTGATATAGTGGGTGATATTATTATTCCACTGGTATTCCTAATACACAGTAAATAAAAACTGAATAAAAAGACAAATGAGAGAAATTACAAAGTGAAAATGCGCCATTCTCAATTATAATTTTCTTGGAAGATGATGTACAATTAAAAATCCTAGTAACTAGGAGCACAAAAAATGATACTTTAAGAGAATACAAAAAGTGTGTTTTTATATAGAGTAAGGTTTTGGAAGAGGCAAATCCTTGATAATGCCACACAAGATATCATTGTCTGGCATGTTATACTCATCTTTCAAAGAGCAAGATGGGGAAAGAACACTAAAGTAGAGTTGGTGGCCCAAATATTGCCTCTCTAATGAATTGGACCTTAGGTTCCAAAGCCCAGCATTGTCAAGAGTTGTCATAATTGCAGCCCAAGAGTTTGGGTAGACTTGGATTGTGTTCCTGCTCACTGCATCAAGTAAGTTGTAGTTTTGCCTCCTCTCTGGTTTCCATCTCCCTGCTTCAATCCTGCATGTGACATGTCATATTCCATTAGTTGAGTTTTAGGAAGAAAAAAAATTAGGAGACAACATAAGAGCTTTTAGGATACTTTAAAGAGGCTCAAAAGTATGGACGGATTTCATATTTAGGTCAATCGATCGTGCACAATTCAACATGATCGACGAGAATTCATATAGTCGACTTCAACTACTTTGGAATGAGATTATTGATGTTGTTTGGAGAGGCTCGAAAATATAGGTAGACTTTAAAGAGGCTCGAAAATATAGGTAGACTTTATTTTGGGTCAGTCGATCAATGAGAATTCATATAGTCGACTCCAATGACATTATTGATGTTTTTTGGAGAGGCTCGAAAATATAGGCTGACTTTAAAGAGGCTCGAAAATATAGACGGATTTAGTATTTTAAGTCAGTTGATCGCGCACAATTCGACATGATGAATGAGAATTCATATAGTCGACTCCAACTTGCTTGAAATGAGACTATTGTTATTTGGAGAGGCTCGAAAACATAGGCTGATTTGAAATTTTAGGTCTCGATGTATATTTTAACGATGAGTATGCACTAAATATGTATGTGTGCATGATGTCTATTGTATATGTGACCTTAAAGAAGTGGCCAGCATTCCCTACCAAAAAGTTACCTGATACCTCCGTCTGAAAATTGAACTCAAATTTAAATTTTATATTCAACTCTGATCTCAAGCTTCGTATGGTCCACATTGTATATGGCGTTGACATTTATAACTGCCAACCTAATAGCTTCTTTTTTTTTTTTTTGGCCAACCTAATATTATTTCAAAATAGGTTTAATAGATACTTAGTAGTTTTCATTTGAGCAAAACGAAACTGATGTTTAGAAGAAGAAAGTTGGGGGTACTCACGCAACAGCAAAGAAGTTGTAACCAGCCAAGTGCCAAGATTGAACACTCTTCTCATGGTTCTCAAGTATGATTTCCACAAAATTGCGGTATGTAGCATTAACCACATTAGGTGCGAGAGTGATCTTTTCATTACCACTTGGAGCTATATACTCATCCTTAATCAAGTCATACTTGAACACTTTGTCTGCAACACCATAGAGCTCAGCCAACTTAATTGGAGTTATAGGATCCACATGTGAGACGCCGTTGATGGCGTATCGACGTTTTCCATCGACATCCCCGGCCGTGCTCACCAACCTGATCGTACGCGTGATGTTGATTTGGCCATAGTGGTAACTTCCTTGTGGATTAGGCCTAGCTGCACTTGCTGTCAAATTCCAACGGAATGAGCGGAATTGGTTTAGAGACCATTCCCATCCTTCTGGGGCCTTTGGCAATTCAGGTGAAGCAGGATCTTTACCTGTTGAAACATAATATAATTAAGTAATTAAAATCGTGTGAGGTAAACATTTTTAACATTGTATTAGAGCATGTATACAACGTCCTAGGTTCATTTCATTGTCATCCAAAAGCAAAAAATATGTTAACGTGTTTGACTCATGAAAAAGAATCGAATATACACTTAAATGGGCGCATTCTGAAATAATATAACTAAGTAATTGACAATGTTACTACTAGAAACCTTTGGATTTTCCACGGACGTCCTTGTCAGAAAGTCGTGGGTAATTTATAATTTCTCACGACTATTCATTTCAAACAATTTTCAACGGATTTTTTTGATAATTCTTTCTATTAATGTTTGTTTTCTCTAACAGTTTAAACTTTTAGATGAGATGGTCAGACAATTTAACATTACCATTGGTATAACGGATGGTGGCAGTGGCGATATGGGGTTCCTTCGTAAAGCGCGAAGAAGCCACGAGAAAATAGTCCTTGGGTTCTTGATCAGCGGTCACCAAAACGGATAAACATTGTCCCAAGTGAATATCCAATGATTCATACATGTTTTGAACTGTATGAGATCCTTCCATTTCTACCAATTTCATTGTATGGCCTTGGAATCTTACATTAATAGAATCCTTCATCCCAACATTGCAAAACCTGTACCTATATGTCTTTCCAAAGACCATAGAAAACATAGGCTCGTCCTTTCCATCTCCTTTCCCATTTTTACCATTAATAATAATTCCTTCTGGCCTTCCTATCGAACGTCCTTCATCTAAAATACTTCTCAATGTTTTATGACTTTTAGTGTACCAATCACTAACAAAAACAGAGAATTCTTCCTCAGGGGAATCAAATGGGACGGGAATTAACAAGCGACTATGGATACTTATAGGACCATAGCCACCAGTCGCACGATGTAACGCGGTGGTGGGATAATAGTAATAGCTTCCAATTTGGTCCTTGACCTGGAAATGGTATGTGAAATTTTTTCCAGGAAGGATTGGACAATTTGTGCCTAAGGTACCTTCTTGCCACGAGTTTTTCCTCTGTTGGATTCCGTTCCATGTAAGAAGGAATGGCTCGTCCAATTGGTTGAACACATTGACAACTATGTTATTATTGGATGTGCAATTAATTTTAGGTCCGGGGAATTGACCGTTGATTAAAATGACTTGTTGAGGCACGCCAAGGGGAGAAATAGTTCCATAAGTGACATTCCAATCAAAAAATAAGTATGGATCCTCTCCATGTACCTTTACCAAGCAAGAAAATAGCAAAAGAAGAACAAAATTTAGTCTATCCATGTTCTTCTTTTCTTGTAAATGTTCTCTCACTTTTTTCCTCGTTTGAGTCTAACATATAAAAACCATATAAAGTTTATATGTTGATGAGAGGAATTAAGGACAACCTAGGACAATTTGACGTTTTGTTGGAAAAAAAATACTTTGCTCTTTATATATACGCTACGTGAGGTTACAAGAAAAAGACAGCCATCTAAATTTCATGCGTAACCCGGAAGTACCGTTTGCTCTTGTTTTTTTCCAATTGCTCGTCTTGCGCTATACCTTTCTTTATTGTTTTTTAAGGGGAAAATATAATATTGGCCGGTCGATCAAAATTAACTGCATTTGCTAGTCAAAAAGTATATAAAGTATGTATATTTTATGTACAAAATACACACACACACACACATATATATATACATTTTGTCGGCTATTATTTTTAGAAGTGACTAAAAGTATACATTTCTCATTTTTTTTTCTTAATGCGGGGAGGATACATAGTTACATACATACATACATACATACATACATACACACACACACACACACACACACACACACACACACACACACACACA